AAGGAAGTCTTTATAATTATTTAACAAATGAATTTAAAAATATAAATTGGAAATGTAAAACTTCCATTCTTTTAGATATTGTCAATGGTTTACGGATGATGCATAGAGAAAATGTTATTCATTATGACCTTCACAGTGGCAACATTCTAATTGATTATTTAAATTCATTTATTTCAGACTTGGGATTGTCAACACAAACTGATCAAATAAAAGCATCAAATAAAAACAATATATTTGGAGTATTGCCATATGTAGCACCAGAAATATTAAATGGTAAACCCTATACAACATCATCAGATATATATAGTTTTGGAATATTGATGACAACACTCTCAACAGGCCAACAGCCTTTCAGTAATGTTTCACATGATAGAGATCTTGCAATTAAAATATGTGAAGGATTAAGGCCTGGATTTTCAATTAATACACCAAAATTTTATATTAAACTAGCATATAAATGTATGGATGCTGATCCAGAAAAACGACCAACTGCCAAAGAAATTTATAATATTGCTAGATTTTGGGATGATGCAATAAATTATAGATCTTGCCATAATCATACTTTTGAGGAAGCAGAATCAATTATAAAAGAATTTGATGAAATGGACAAAATTAAATTTGATCCTTCAACAATCACAGCAACTGTTCATCCAAATGCTGTTTATACTAGCAGGTTATTGAGACTCACAAATCTTCCACAACCTGTTAATTCTAGAAAAGTTACGATTATTGGTAATTATAATGGTAATTATTATCAATTATTTAATTTTGATGTTAATATCAATTTTAATATAATTAACTAATTAATCCTATTTTATAGATTCAAATCAAATAGATTTTGATACAATTTGATTTTTTATATATTTATTCTTTTATATATATATTCTTTTATATATATCCATACACACATATTCACAATTTTTTCTTTTGTTGAAAGACAAATTGGGAACTTTTGAATACATGTATTAATACTGCGATTACTATTGCAATTAATTTATCAAATAGACCTAGAATTAATTTACACAAAATAATTGAACAAACTTTAATTCAGTTAAAATCTGCTTTGAAGCCTATTTGCTTGTTCTTTTTTCTTTTTTCTCAATGTTCATTTATTTTATTACCATCATTAATTTTTTCGTATCTTCTTTTACATCCAATGGATTATCATTATTCGTCCTGGTGGGTGGAATGGTACTTATGTGGTTGTTATTATCGATCTGATTTTTGCATTTGGGGCATACTGCAACAAAACCAGACAAAGTGAACATCTTGTTACCAAGAATTTCAGGGGACCCCGAAATATATATGTAGAGGTACACTATTGCTCATGTTACCGGAATTAGACTTTAACACAGATATTTTGCCGAATCTCTTAATTTGGGACCATTTTATTTCTATTTTCAATTATTATTTTTTATTCTTTATCACATTCTATTTTTATTTTCCATTTATCTTAAATGATAATTTAATGTTGAAGTTGATGTGGTGTCTGAATTAGCATATTTTGCACCACATTTAATTTCTGTTCGAGGATTGATAATAACTTTGCAATAAATATTGTTTACTTTGTCTCCCAAACTTTTTGATTTTTTCCTTTTTTGTAAATTATCATTTATA